ATATATATACGTGAGCTTATGACGTAAAATTTTCTCTACCAAAAAAACCGTATCCTATCTTTTGGAATTCGCATTTTCGCAATTGTACCACGGTTTCAGATTTGCGACTGACCAGACACCTTTGTATGGTATTTGTGTTTGCTGGAAGCCCTCTACATCCTCCACTAGATAGCGATCGTTGTCGAGAATTTTAGATATCTTATACGGCCCTTTGAACTTAGGGATTAGTTTGCTAGACGCTCCTGTCTGCGAGCTAATATTAGAAATTACTACATAATCTCCTAACTTAAAGTTGCATGGTTTTTTACGTTTAACATCTGAGTACCCTTTATTATAAGTTTGTGCTTTACATTGTTCAACTTCTGCTTGTTTTCTAAGATCTTCTATATTTTTGTGGTTCGGAGTGTTTAATAATTCTAACACATTCTCGCTCACACTATCTATGACCTTTCCTTTCTGTCGGACCCCGAATAGCAATACACTGGGTGCTCTTTGGTTGCCTTATGAACCGTATTATTCATAGCATGTTCTACTGACTCCAAGACATTTTCCCAGCCCACCTCTTTCTCAGCATCTAACATCTTAGTTATCATTGGACCTAAACTTTTATTCACAATTTCGGCCTGACCATTTGCTTGAGGTGAGCTTGTTGCTACTTTTATGTGTTCTATGTTATTATCTTCTAAGAAATTTTCGAACTCTCTCGACGTGAAACAAGTTCCCCGATCTGATACTATAGACCTCGGTCTGCTATACGCTCGAAAATAATCTTTTAGGGCTAAAACAGCTTCATTCGACGCTGTTGTCTTGGCCGGATACAAACGAACGAACTTCGTGAATGCATCGATTACTACCAACACGTGCTTGAACTTTGTTCCCTTGCTATGGATCGGTCCGTAATGATCAATGTGCACCATTTCGAATGGTTTATTTCCTTTTGGAATCATGTGTAACATTCCTTCTTTCTTACCGCTTTTATTTGAAAAGGCTATACACTTCAAGCAGTTTTCGATATGAACGGTTGCCTTTTTCCTAACATTCGGAAACCAATAACTTTTCCCTATAGTCTCTACAACCTTGTGTACTCCTAAGTGCCCCATTTCGTCGTGGTATTTATACAGAACATGTGGTTCCATGGACTCTGGCACATAGAAGAGTAAATCTTTATCTTTCTTTTTATACACTACCCCATTTCTCATTTCGAACTGGCTGCTCTCTTTAGACTCTAAGTCCTTTTTGATATCTTCTATGTGTTTATCTTTATTCTGACATATAATTAAATTTTCTTCAAACGTGTTGGTGTGAACCACCAAGACGTTATTTACTCTACTCAACGCGTCCACATGTTGCATCCTTTTGCCCTCTCTATGTTCGAGTTCGTAATCGTAATTTTGTAACTCTAGCGCCCACCTGGCAATCCTTGGGTTCATTTCTTTTTTATTTAGTGTCAGCGTCAGCGAATTGCAGTCAGTAATAATTTTAAATTTTATGCCTTGTAGGTATACCCTGAATCTCCTCAACGCGTATACTATCGCCAGTGTTTCTAGTTCGAAACTGTGATACCTAGACTCTACATCCGTTGTACGTTTCGAGAAATAAAAAACTGGATGTAGCTTATTATCCTTTTTCTTCTGAAGCAGTATCGCCCCGAAGCCTAGTGAACTCGCGTCGCAGTGGAGTTCTGTCGCATCACAAGGGTCGTATATCGCTAACACTGGGGAGGCTATTAACTTGGCTTTAAGTGTATCAAACGTTTCCATCTCCAGCTGACCGAATCGAAATTTTTCTTCTTTTTTCAAGAGGTCGTAAAGGGGTTTGGCTATGGTCGAAAAATCTTTAATGAACCTACGAAAGTAGGAGCAGAGTCCTAAGAAACTTTGCACTTCGTGCACTTTGGTTGGTACCGTAAAATTTTCAACTGCCTTCAATCCTTTTTTGTCAGCCCGTATCCCTTCGCCCGTGATCGCGTAACCTAAATATGAAATTTCTGCCGAGAAAAACTCGCACTTATCTAATCGCAACTCTAGTTTATTCTCAACCAGACACCGAAAAACTTTTCTCAAAATGTGAATATGTTCATCTACAGTCTCTGTCGCGATCATAATATCGTCCAGGTACACAATTACTTCTCCACTGCATATCATTTCCGAGAATATCTTATTTACAAACTTTTGAAAAATAGCCGGAGCGTTTCTTAGCCCAAACGGCATTCTTAAGAATTCAAATTGCCCTAGTGGCGTTGTAAACGAGGTATATTTTACTGACTTTTCTTCAACAAACACATGAAAAAATCCATTTTTCAGGTCTAACTTCGTGAACAACTTTTTGTTTACTAACCGATCCAACAAGTCATCAATCAGTGGTATAGGGTAGTTATCCTTTGCCGTGACTTTATTAAGTTTCCTGTAATCGACGCACATTCGGAGTTCGCCCGTTTTCTTTTTCACCAAAACTATAGGAGAAACGAATTCTGAACTACTAGGGCGAATATACCTTTTTTCTAAGTAGTCATCTAATATCTTTTGTAGCTCTGCCTTTTCGGTATACGAAAGTCTTCGTGGAGCGCAACTGAAAACTTTTTCGTCTTCCAAAGCTAAACTTATTTCCTGCCTGACCCTAGGCTCTTTTGGTCTTTTTGCACACAAATATTCTTCTCGGAACAACTCTTGAAAATACTTTTTGTCTTTGTAACTTATTTTGTCGCTAATCATATACTCAGTTTCGCCCATTTCAGGAATTTCTATCGCTAATATTTCGTTGACGGCTTCGTTCACTATTTTGTATGTAGAACTACCACTAACCACTTCTTCTTTATCTGTGACACTAACCTTTGGCACAACCGCTGCTTTGTATGTTGAATTTTTACTGGCCACCTTTTCTTTGTTACAAACATTAAGATTCGTTACACTGTTTACAACATCTGTGTCTGCAGTTTCATCCATAAACCCTACATCACCGATTTTAAGCTTGGCTTCGCTTGCCTGAATAAAATTTCTGCCTAAAATTACTGAATAACTAATCGATTCGTCAGGAACTACTATAAGTTCAATCAACACGTTTTTATTGAGCACTTTGACATAACAAAATATTTTTCCAAAAATTGATAGTTTTGACTTATTGAGACCATAGTATGAGTTTCTTTCATCTTGTAACTGCACTCTTCCCGGTACAAGGCTTTTCTTTACAAGACTTATTGGGCTCCCCGAATCGACTAGGCATTCTATAACCATATCAACATTAAGATTATCTACGATACTAATACTAAAATAACTTACAAAATTGCTACTGGATGTCGACTTCTTGTAGTTTTTGCAGCTCGCCGCAAAATGTCCGCGTTCGCCACACGCAAAGCACGTCCCGTATTCGCGCTTAGGCTTGCTGCACTCTTTTGCGATGTGGCCGGAGCAATTGCAGTTGTAGCACCTTAGCCGCTCTTCACCACTTTGTAAATTCGTTTTTGGTGCGGCTCGTCGCGGCAACTCGACAGTCCGAAATGCTCTAGTCACCTCACCAGCACTTTTAAAATTCTGAAGCTTGGCTTGTATCTGCAATTGTTTATGAGGAATGCCGTCTACGAGGTATTCAACAAATTCTTCGTCGCATAGGTTGAGGCCAGCGCTTAACAGCCGTTTCTCGTTAGCGTAGCTACTGAACTGTTCACCAAACTTCCAAATTCGCCTTTCAAATTTTCTACGTACATTGAGCAAGTTGTCTTTCTTTGCGAATATTGCCTCCATTTCTGCGAGGATTTCGCCAACAGTGCGCATAAACATCTTGTTGGAGTTGTACCACATCAGGGCTTCGCCTTTCATTTTGAGCCGTACGACTAAACTTAACGCCTCATCGCTGACTTGTAAAACTCGCTGAAAATGGAGCAACTGAGACCGCCACATGTCAAAATCCTCGCTTCCGTCATAGTCGGCCATAAGCTCCTTCATAGTCTCCAACCCAGGCTTAGCGTTGTCTGTTGCGACCGTCAATTTCGCTCCGCCTTGTTGTAACTCTAATTTTAGTTTAAGCAACTCTATCTCCTTTTCTAATAGACTTATTTTCGTACCATCGAATTCACGGGTGTTACTTGGGCCGCACCCTAGCTCACTTGTCACGCTAACAATTTCTTGCGAAAATTCGCGCCGCTCTACGCCACTGCCTCTAATCGCACCGTCGTTGCTATACGCACCGTCGTTGTTATGCGCACCATCGTTGTTAGACGCACCATCGTTGTTAGACGCACCATCGT